AGATTCTGAGCTGATCACGAGGAAGAAAAATCACCCATTTTTCGAGCATAAAAAGTGGTTTTTAACTCTCCCATTTTTATAGGTTTTAAAGTCGTGCAATGTCTAAGTTAAGCAGGAACACATCATTATATCTCATTTTTTATTTCTTTTTAAAAAATTTGAAAAATCGTTTGCCCAGCCTATTATAAGCTGGAACTTCTAGTTGTTATGCAACTGCATAAATGAGCTACAGTTCTGGCAACCATACATACTGTGCCCTCCAGTACTGGGACATCAAAGCTGTTAAGTTTGCTTTACATGCAGGAAATGTGTATTTGTGTTCATGAGATTAATCTAGTTGACAAAATCATTCTAATATGAATTTTGTTACAATTGGGTTCTACGTCATTGGTAATTGATACCTGTAGCTGATCTCCTTGTTTAAAATTCTGTTTACATGTTTCTGTATCTAGTGCTTCTTTTAAAAAATACGCCAAGCACATTGTTTTGACCAAAAGTATATAGAACTTTCCTAAAGTCGCTCCTCAAGTTAGATCCTTTACTTCTGTGTAAACAGCTCTTAATAGATCAATTTATGATGAGCAGGCATAGGTGAGAGTAACAATATTCCCACAATGAGCATTTTTCTTTCCTTCTGCAGAGGTCAAATTGCTTTTGTTTCTAGGTCACACACATGGATGAGGGGAGTTCTTAAACTCAGAAAATGGGATTGGGATAGCAATTTAAAATGCTATTCAACGTTTTAAAATCTGACAGGAAATATGCCTCAAATAGAAAATTGAAATCAATTAGACTGCAATTTATGAACTTGGCTAAAACAACTTCCAGAAGGCACAGAGATCTCCCAGGATCTGGGTTGGCAACCAGTGTCCTCAACACATTTATTTGAGAGCACAGCTGTTGTAAAACTAGACTTGCATATTTTCACACAATTAGGTTTAATACATTAAGTAAGAAGCCATGTAAGTATGATAAAACAAAACTGGGCCTATAATCAATTCAAGGCTGTGGCGTAAAATAATATTTTCTTGTGAATATATGAACTACACTTATAATTTTTTTAGTGATATAATATTTTTGTTAGGTCTTTTATTTTCATTCTAGTGTTTTACGTTTATGATTATGAATTAAATGTGTAAATTGTAACCATATAATTTGGGCGTTACTGTGATGCACTGAGAGTATCCAATCAAGCGGCAAGCAACACAAGCAGTGTCACTTTAAGAAATACTCTTTGTTAAAACAGAATGTTTTTTCTGTGTGACTGTGTTATGACTGTGTCTAGGGGTAAAGGGGTGTAACCTTTAGGATGATTTGGATGCAGGTGGGTTTCTGGTGAGGGACTTAGGAAGTGTGACATCAAGTTTTGGTGCAAAATTTATTTATTTTAAAGTGAATAAGTGACTGGTACGTAATGGGACACAATAACACACAGGGAAAGGGAACTAGAGTGGTGCCAAAGAAAAGAAAATAACAAACAAAATGGAGCTGGCTAATAAAGTGAGGGGAAGCTGGCCCATCTACCAAAACAAAACCAAAACACTCGGTCTTCAGCGTCTTCTAACGCCCTGGCTAACCTTCACTAACTACCCAAAACCACCCATCCTAAACTAGTGTTACTAATACAAAGATCAACTACGTGTGTAGAATGTACCCGACAACCTTAACTAACCCTATACACAAAAGTTCACACAAATACACAAGTGAACTATGAATACAAATAAGGGAAATCGAGAGTAGACACAAGGAATAGGGTACAAAAGTTTGTAATTCAGTCTCTTCCAGGCTGGGTTACTAGAATACCTTGTGTCCCTGGTTACTGCAGTTGAACAGTGACATAACCTATTTATGAAATTGTTTGGCATCTTCAGTTAGGCATAATTTATATTTCAATTTTTTATGTCATATCTGAAAACCCGTGTACATATACCAAGTGTTTTAAAGTATTTTTGCTTTGTATCTAATAATTGCTGTTTGACAGTGCCTTTTTAGTAACAACTCACACATCTATTATTCAAATCAAATATTAAAAAGTCAGGTCAGGCATCTATTAATCCAGTATAACATTATAATTTCTGTGGAAATATTTATTATTTTGAATTACTCAAAGCAGTTTTCAGTATCCTCCACATACATTATTTATGTCTGAATTTTCTAGTGCTGGTATGTACAATGTGTGTACTGTATGTGTGTATACTCTTAAATTACTACCATAGTATCTCACTCTAAAATGTGAGGAGAGGCTACCCTTTTCAAAGAAACGAGGCCCTCGTGCTCATTGGGATTCCATACATTGAGAGCTTGATGTGTACTTATTATGAATTAAGATCAGAAAAGGGCTTAAAAAATAATGAGGATGTTGTATCAGAAAGATTTATTTTAATAAGAGAAGAAAAATCCATTTGGCTGTTCTGAGTAATTCAGTTCTAATACGTCTATTTGCCTTCAGCAAAATCTGTAGTATTATTGCTTAATCTTGTTTTTATGCTTTATTTAACAGAAAGAGAACAGCAAGCCATCAAGCTATCCCTCTCTGCTGAGCCATGTATCTTCATTGTACTTGAATCACCCAGTTCTTCCTATGACTATTAGCACTGATTTTGGAGATGCATCACTCTCAGCCTTCAGCCCACTTGTTTCATCAATGCCATGTGACATGCATTTGGTTAATCTCCGAACCATACAGTCAAAGGTATTTTTTCTATAATTTTCATTTTAAAAAATGTTACTTGTATATTTAAAATTATGTTTAGTTATTAATATTCCTTTTTTCATTTGGGTCTATAGAAATATTTTTTTCTAATATTGTTTAGTAAGCATTTTACAGTGAAATCATGGACTCCCCAGAGTCTCAGTCAAAAAAAGGCTTTCTGAACACAGGTTGAGCCCTGATAGTCTGAGCTTGGGTAATGTGACTAGCTAGCTATTGACCGTCTTCCCAGGCCCCTTGCAGGCTTCCATTTACATCTGAGAGCCAACCTGCAATAACTCTCCTGTAAGGCATTGTGAAGCTTGCAACATGTCTAAACAATGAATAGCGTTTATGGGTTGAAATGTCCAAGGAAAATCATTGTCATTCTTCTTTCTACATGCGATAAGGACTCATGAAAATAATTGGATTTTTCTTATTGGGTAGATGTAAAAAAAAATACAAAAAGAAAAAATGTTCAAAGGTCTCACGGATTATTTTAAACATGCTGCCAAACAACATTTTACATTCATTGGCCCTGTCAATAAAGTGTGTTCCAACTATTACAGCTTATGAATGTTTAATATTAAAAAACATAAATAATATGGAACATGTACTACTGTACCTGAGGACCACACTGGTGAACAAGTGATGACCTCTTTGTGGTTGAGAATCTGTAGCTGACAGAAACAATACATAAAGAGCCCTATATCTCAAGCCCCTTCCTCAATTTTCAAGTAATTTCTGGTGCTGAACATGTTATTGTAATTTGGCCCATTTTTCATTTGGAAGGGACAGACATCCTTTGATTGATGCAGTGTCCTCTCAAGCCAAAGATTCTTCTCTAATTACTTTAAGGGGGGTGAATATGCTTGCCAATTTGTTCAATTATTTATTAAAGGGATCTACCAGGTTGTCAGCTGAGACTGAACTGTCTTTGTCGCAGGAGGCTTAGTGATGAGGCAGTTTACAGTACAAAATCTGTAAGAGAAATTTACATGACAAAGACAAACTACTAGATGTAATCATTTATATCTGCAGAAGCTATTGCTCAAGGACACATAATGAGAAACTAGATGTACCACTGTGAAAATATACAGGAACTATTTCCGTATATCTATGTAACAGTAACAAGTGAAAAATATATTGGTAAAAATATGAGTGTTTTTAGAAGTTATGTACAAGTGAAATTCTAAGGATGAAAATAAATATGTATACCCTTTTTTAGGTTGCTAATTAGTCTGTAATGTGCCCGGTGATGGACTAGTGTCCTGTCTAGGGTGTACCCTGCCTTGTCACCTTTGCTTGCTGGAATAGACTCTGGCACCCCTGCGACCCTGTATTGGATTGGGTTTAGAAAATGGATGCATGGGTTAGTGTGTAGTGCTACTGAAGATCAACGGAATGATTAGACCAATTGAGGTTGATTGGTTAGGTGTGTCTCTATACAGAAAATTTCAGAGAAACCCTGTCAAGCTTCTTAATAAGGGATAACACAGAGAAGATCCTGAACTGAATAGCCTTTTCATTTTCTTTACATCAGAGTAATTTGAACTTGTTTCATTATTAATGCTTTTCAATTGAATAATGTTTAAATATTAACTAGAATAATTTCTCTTCTATGTGAATGCAGGGAGTTTAAGTATTCAAAATGTAATATTTACATGGATGACTGAGAATATTCAGAACATACACTGTTGTTACCCATGAGTACCCATGAAGAATGTAGTTTTAGCTTCTCAACTTTCCTTACTATTCCCCTAACAATAAGTTTTTTAATAATGAGATTTTCATTGATTATGAATATGCATCTCTTGAGTGGTTCAACCATTGAAGACCCTTGCATGAGCGCACGTTGAACTCTATGACCCATTTCACTAGCTGACTTTACCCAGAATTCCCCAAGCAGCAGTGCAGAACTGGGAGATTATATAACTCTGATCTAGCCCTCTTACAGCTGTAAAATAACTTTCAGTGGTTCACCAAAAGTAAATAGGTAGTAAGCAAAGTATGCATATTGAAATCATCATGGAAGAAGCCTGTTGGTTTCTTTGTGAGCCAGTTTTTCTACCTGTTGATCAATGATCGATAGCAGATCTTCAGCCTCAAGGATCATCTTTCAGAATATGTTATAATACTGATAAGTTAGATCTCCTAGCATGTTTTCTGTCTACCCTCTGCATTTATATATTTCAAGAAAAGAAGTGATAGTTTCAAAACGAACATAGATAAATATAAATTCCAAATCTGTAGAAAAATTACTGAAATTAATCCTGATATTTCTGATCCTGATATAGAAATTAATTTCTGCCAAAAAGTATATTCTAGATTTCTTCTAGAGTTCAAGAATGAAAAAATGAGATATCATTCATTAGTAAGTGTGTTGAGCCTGAAACTCATCAAAGTTACTAAAGGATATGAAATGTATAAGTATTATTTAATCTATTTTAAGTCCACTTGTCCTGGTGAGAGTCAGGGTGTTTAAATTAAAGCTCATTCTGTTTGGTATTGCCATGTTCTGATTCTCATTCACAACGTCCTAGACTCATAGTCTGCAAAGAGAATTCCACAAGAACTCCAGAAAACTCATTCCTTCCGTTTGAGTTACTGAACTTATATATGTAAAACTAATATACAGAAGTTTTGTTTAGTCATCCTGCAATTTTCCCCCTCAATATTTTCAGGGGGAAAAGCATTATTAAAATAGAACTCAGAAGAGCTGCAGGGAAAAAAACTACTTATTGGTTTATTTCATTGAACTGCAATGACCTTTTACACAGTGGAACTTTCAGTTATTTTAGAAGACTGCTGGAGGTGCAGCTGAGCCATGAAAGAAAAAATCTCATAAAGTCATAGTGTTAAAACTGAGATGCCCTTCAGGAGTTAAGGGCGGTTGTGCATTGATCATTAAGAAATAACTTATTTTCTTTGCAGGAGGGAGATGGGCCATCAGATGAAGCAGCCTTAATTCTGCATAGAAAAGGATTTGACTGTGCATTCTCCACTAAAAACACAGGGTTGCTCTGTTCTACAACACTTGGCAAGGTAATTGCACTAAACAATGTAACACTTCTCAATCCTGGTGTTTGGGGCTCTACTGGTGCTTTTCTACTGTTTTTGAAAACATTTTGGTTGCAGTCAAGTTCTTAAAGTTACTTAAACCAATAATGTACTTAAAATGCTTTTTTAATTATGCTTGTATTCTGAATACATATGTTTTAATATATGTTTGTTACTTTATATTTAAAATCATGTTCTTCTATATTGCCCCAAAACTGTATTTTCAGTTTCAAAAAGAGTGGCCAAAAATATAAAAAAAAGTTTAAAGTTTTTTTTCACTGTATAAGGGGAACAGACATCAATGACTCCATTGCTGTCCTGTAAATTTAAGAGCAAAGATTTATAGCCTTGTTTTGTGTATGTATATGGAGAGATTTAAATGGCTGTTTGCATTTAACATTACTCACATTTAGATAAAGGGTTCCATGTTTCTGAATTTGAACTTATTCTTTTTCTGCAGAATTTTCAATTTGTCACCCACCCCTTTATAAATATTATTTCAGATATTATGTGCATAACTGTAGCAATTGTACTGGTCACTTTAGATTGAAAGGCATTGTATACTTTTACTGTATTCTCACATTGTTTACCAGTGCCCTGTTTTTTAAAGGTAATGGGACCATGAAAAACAACAGAAGCCAAACTACTGGTCTTCTTAGTATAGGAGTGAAGCTAAGAAATAAAACAAGATTACAGGGAGAATAATCAGAACTTTGAAATCAAGGTGATGAGAAAATTAATATATGAAGCAAGAAATCCTGTTTTGAATACATGGGTCCTTTAAACAAGGTTCTTATATAGGATTAAAAGGAAAGGTAGGGCATGTAAGAAAAGGCTTAAGAATACCCTCTTGAGTATCCTTGAGGTGCAGAATTTGTCAAGAGTATTACCCAATTACTGTTTCACATGTACTCATGTCCTTTGACCCTGCCAGCACTGTCTGCTAGATTGGATAATGCTGATATGGGGAGTGAATGGCTTATTAGGTCTGGATTGGCAAATCAAAAAGAACTTGGCAGCATATATCTCTGAGGAAAGAGTGACCTGTGTTTTTTCAGTCTTCTGAATCCCTGTCTTTAAATGTACAGGAGTGGCAGTGTTTTTCTGTAAATTCCACAGAGATTAATGCCTTGAGCTGGAAAACATGGAGCCTTTTGTTTAATGTTAAACACTGTTAGACAGTCGACTTGGGATAAAATATTTAATTTGATTGACATCCCATGTGGTTATGTTACGTAGTCCAGGTACAAAAACAGAGTTTAAGCACTGTTTATGCATATCTGTTCTCTGAATGCAGTGTACTTGTGTTCCTGTACACATAGTGTTTTCCTCACCATTGACAAGAAAAGGCTTTCACTTTCCCTGACAGCACAATTTATGTTCTTCAAAGCTGCTTTTAATCAAGGAAGCCCGTCGGCAACAAGGGAACAGTTCCTATGGTGTATTAGCCTGATGAGAAGGGGGAAAATTCTCAATATGATCCTATTTCATCAGTCGTCTCTTCTCTGATTTAATAGGACAAACGTGGAAAGATAGAGACCAGCAAATGCATATAACTTTGGCCTTTTCCATTTTGTGATCATAAACATGGATAAATTATTGACCAGCTACATTTTTATTAGAAAAAAAAACTTAAAATACTTTACTATTTTCACAAATGGTTCAAAGATATTCACTTACAAAACCTGCCTTAAAATTTCTGTACCTTACCTGTACCTTGGAAATATGACTATGATTTGAAATATGTAAAAGTCTGAAAGACTATGTGATGCCTGAGTAACATCAATATACAATAAAATGATGGTTTTACTAATTAATGTGCTGGATATATTTAATTGTCTCAAAACTGAATTTATTTCTTTTTTAATCATAGATTGCCCTGGAGAGGATATTCAAGGAAATGAAAGTGCAGAGCTTCACACCAGTGTCTTTATCTTTGATGCACACATCTGATGAAGGCAAGAACACAAATGAGATACACCTTAAGTCTATGGAGCTCAGTACTTTCCGAATAAAACTGAGATGAAGTTGCCCCCTTCATGATATGCACAAGATTTGACAATACTGAGGAAAGACTTCCTTTTCCTGTTTTTGATGAATTATGTGTGCATCAAAAGCCATGAGACTGTATCTTTAACCAGGAAAGACAATAGAGGATGGGGTTAATCAAAATACAAATCACCTTAAGCCTCACAAGGGAGTGCAATATACCTTGTCTCACACAGTCTCAGGTTCAGCGTTTTCCCAAGCGTTTTTTTTTTTCTTTTAAGCAACTAAAAAGACTAAAGAAAAAGACATCACTGTGCTGGAAAATATGTTTAACCATCGGATTCTATAGGAAGACTGATGCTGGGGTTGAATGCAAATGTTCTGCTGAAGTGAGAAAACAGAATTCCACTGAATTTGTTAAGAGGAGGTAATCTTTGACCTTTGGTCTGGAGAGTTTGTTGAGCTGTACATTTCTGATACATCTGCGTCTTAAGTAATGTGCAATGGAACAGTTTTAGTCTAAGAATTACTATCCCATCTTTTGGAACAGGGGACAAAAAAGGATTCTCAAGTGGATTTTTTTATTATTCCAAAGTTGCCATATGGGATTAAAATGTGCCTTATTTTCAGGTTTCTTAATGGATCTTTTATGTACTGTTCTTACTATCTTGTCTTTGTATCTTGGTGTCACAGTTCTGTTGTAGTGAAGTGTTTCATGTTTATCAACAATGCAGATGAAATTTCAGAAAAGTCACCAGAGCAAAATATAAGCCAGTCTTCTTCAGACTGTTTAGCTTCTGGGAACTTTAAATGTATGGTAATGATAAAATTAGATGTCATTGCACCACTGGTAATTTCAAGTGCTATACAGTATGCTTATTTTGCCAAGGTAAAAACAAAGCATTTCTTTTTTCATTGAGATCAGCCAGGCTATTTTTTTTTCTCTGGGGAAAGGGAGAGTAATTAATCTTCTGTTTATGTGCAATGAATGTGGATTGCTTTATAGTTTGTTGGGCAATGTTTTCATAATTATGTTTTAATTGATTTTATGGAGTGTGTTGTATAAGTAGATATGATTAGTTGAGAAAGTCAGCTTTGCAGTGAGCTTTCTGTATTGCGTATTTGATTGATCCTTAATCATTTGTGATTTATATGGACCTAATTGAGTTAAGAGGACTTTTATTTTTAAAGTTCTATCAGGTTTATAATTTTTACAGCTGATTTTCTTCAATATTGAAAATGAATGAATGATTTAAATTCATTTTTCACTTTACATTTTACAAGAAATTACTAGTTGTGTGAAGGAGATTGGGTTTTGCAGTAGTTCTCTTAAACTTATAATGCTTTAAGGTGGTGGGCTTTTATTTAAAATAATGAAGGCAAAATGTTATATTTTCAAAATGGTTTTGACATTGGAGGCTACATAAACATGTCAAATTCACTATAGACTAGTACTTTGCATTTTTTATGGATTGCAAGTGAATCAAAATGATGATGGTAATAAGAGTGTACAGAAAAGGGTTAAAATCAGTAACATTTAAAAATGTCAACCTCTGTTAGCTGATTCTTACAAAACTAAGGTGTGTTCATCATGGGGCAACCGATTGTGTTTGTGTAGTCATACAAGCATGCTGGTTAATGGTAATGGCAATTAACTGTCAGTGTGTTTTTCAACACTACTTAAAGAGGACAAGCAGAAATAAAAAATCCAGTAATATTTTAAAAGACATGCTATGACAGCCACATCTCCTGTCCTTTCCTAATGAATATGAAGACATCAATTCCCACAATAGGAAAACAATTACAGCTGATTTCTACTGTGATATTTTTTTAATATAACACAAAAGTGCACTTTGTTTATATTTTCTCTATTTACAGATCTACCAACTACCGGTTTGTATAGTTTGCAGTTATTATGTCAAAAAGAATTGGAAATGACAGTAATAATAAGTCTTTGTTGGATTCTGGCAGATGTATGCAGGCTTATTAATTTCAATGTGTGTTTTTTTATTTTAATACTTTAATGAAACACAGCCCCTTTGAAGGGTGTATGTTAAATTTCTTATTTAAGCATGTTACCTATTCAAAGGAGTGCCTAATGTTTTAAAATATTCTCACCTGTTCACACGAACAACACAGTAGTGATGCAATCAAACTCACAATTATGTATGTTGAGAAACTGCAAGTAATTGACCTACAAATTTATCTGTTCCTCTTTGTTAACTAGAACAAACAAAGCTAACTAAAGTGTCTTTCTAGCATTTTAAAGTTATTGGAAACATTTTTTTAGGAGTAAAAACACCGAATATAGAAATAATTGCAGATTCATTGACAGTTTTCCCTTTAAAGATATGTTCAGAAAGCAATTAGTATTTGTCCAAATTGTGCTAAAGAAAACACCTCAAAAGCTCCCGTATTATTTTGTGGGTAGCCCTATACTATTATTTTCAGGCAATAGCTGTTCCTATACACTGCCTGCCTGGGTGCACAGGTTAATATAAATTCTACAGTAAGTAATGAAAGGACATTCTTCCAGCAACATGTAGCAGGAATACTTACAACTTATTTTAAGAAACAAATACATTAACCTGATGGGCTCTAATGCAGTTCTTTGTAGCATCTGTCCACCTTGCACTGTATTTTAACAGAATATGAATGCCATTCAACACAAATATATTTACATACCCAACCCCAGTTACCTGAGGCTCATTCACTTCACTTGAAAAACAAAACAATACAATGGGACTGTTTCCATGTTCATGTGTAAGTACTGTACCAAGCTGTGTGTAGCCTACATGCCTGTTGGCACACCCCCATGACCTGCGCCACACTTTTGTGTTATCTGGTTACACCTTCACCTGTTTTACAAAATGAAAGCTGAGGCATTCCATTTAAAATTCTCTTACATAATACCCCTATTTCTTTGGTAATGTTTAAATTTTCTCACGCCTGGTCATACACTGTTCATCTGTTAACATAGGAAACTCCATGCGATGGGACTCATAGGACAGTCTTTTTGGAGCCTGCTGCTTCCTTTGAGAACAGTTGGCTAAGAGCGACAGTTTAACACTGTTGTTCTCTGTGTCTTCTCCTCTGGTAGGACCTTCCAGTCCCTGCCATGAGTCACTGTACTAGCCCTATCATCCCTGCCATCCCTGCTTTTTAACCTGTGAGTTTGTTTCTGTACATCAATTAGAATTAGGATCAATTTAAAAATACACTACAGACACTGCTGTAACAGTCTACTGAAAGTCTATCTATACAGTACTGTTATATTCTACCTTACCTGTAAATAAAGTTACATGTGTTACTTTATGCAAAAGTGCTATTTTTCATGCATTTGTTACACAGAATTTGATGGCACTAATAATTTATGAAGCAAAGAATAATCCAATTCATTTTTGTATCAAAGAAAAAAATGTCATGGGCTTACTGTAATCACAGATTTGTGTGTTCTTCTTCTGCATTTATGTTCTAAGGGATGCCAAATCTCATTCAGTCAAATCTTTACCCATTTGCTCTATTGCAGTTGTTCAGCTGGCTGTTGTTTAGCACAATGAAAATCAATAGGCAGCAACATGGCAATATTTGTGTTGTCTGCGTGTGCTTTAATTGGTGATGTTTTCACTGTTGGTGTGCTTTCATATGATGGTCTAACCCAATGCATGTTTAGAACTTTTAGCAGCATCTTTACCGATTGAGTCGAAGAAATCCATTCCCATGTTCAGCCACATTCAGGTTTATGACACACAAAGTCAATATCTAAATCTCTAGCAACTTAATAGTAACAGTAAACTCTACATGTCATATGTTAATTTTGATAATGCAGAAAACCAAAATACAGCTTCCTTTTGGCAACTGATTCTAGGATTTGTGTAAATAAGAAAATATTATTTCCCATGTCTAACTAAGGACAGCATAGTGGTGCAGTGGTTAGTGGTTGCATTAGATAGGGTGTTTAGAAAATGGATGGATGTCTTGATTGTTCATTTTAAACAATGCACATTCATACAAACCCCACTGGTAGCAAAAATGGAAATTGCCATTATACTCAGCAAGCATCTTTTTGTTAAATATTTGACAGTAAGGACTTTTATTAATCTGGACATTTGCATGTACATCAATGACAAGAAAAGAAGCTTTAGCACTAAGTACTGACTAGAAACTATCCTGCCAGAAGGACGGTGTATTTGCTTTATTCTTCTTACTGCTGCCCACACAGTATTGCAGTATTGTTGTTTTTCTTATTACAAAGTTCGAAAAGGTTTTCTGGAAATGTCTTTTTTAAAGTTACTGAAAGACACATTGATGCTCTGGTCCTACATTCAACCACAGGATTATGTGTTTGAAAAAAGTTAAATTAAGTTGCTGTGTTCTTCTTATCTAAAATATTGTATTGTATAATTCTGTGAGCACATAAGAAGAATGTGGGTCTTAATTGGAATCTCAAGGCTAATTTGCTAGCAATAAGAATTTAATCAGTTATCAGCATAGTGACAAATACCTTTCCAGCAGTACAGAAATACACCAAGAGAAATAATAGGTTCATGTAGATTAGTTACCAAGTGATTTGGCAGAATTGAATATTTAGCTCTCAGAGGGATGTTTATTTTTCACACTGAATGCCTTTTTGAATATTCCTTCCCATGTATATAATTTGTGTGGTTTAGGTGATTCTCTGAATGTTTGATTTTTTTTCTTCAAGATTTTTATATCTTTTGGTGAAATGTAATATAATGGCATAAATAAAATGGAAATATTCATATTTGTTTTGTTTTTAATTTATATAGATAAAGAAAGCTTGCAAACTAAAGAGGAGCATTCAACCAATCTAAACTTTTGTCATAAATGAAATCCATTTTAGTTTTCAATTGAGACCACATCTTTGTTTCACTACTAAGTGATGTACTACCCCGAATTAACTTGATTTATATCTTCTAGGATTTTACATATTTAATCTGCTTCTCATTCTCCTTTGTTCTAGAAATTGAAGACATTTTGCTGTCTTAACCTGCCTGTATATGGCAGTCCACTTAGAGTAGGAATTATTCTTATTTGAAGTACTAAGGCTATATCATTTTGTGGTATATTGACCAAAACTAAGCACAATATTCTAAATGTCTTACTAGTTTACATGTTTAACATTATTATTATCAAAACATTATCACATTATTATTATTAGTTTATTGTAACACTTAACCAGTGATGATGGACTTCATTCTAGGATGTAGTGAATGTTATGAACAATCTTCTATTGTGAAAATGTATGTGAAGTATTCAGTAACCATTCATGCTTTTAAACTTTTATTTTTATTTTATTTTTCACATTCTATTATAAAAGCCCTCTTATCTTATAACTTCTATTTACAGTTGCAGTTTTTGGGGACAAAAAGCTTTCTATTATTTTATTTCTGATTTCTGAGTGTTTATGTAGGATTTTCTCAAAATGCTTTGTAACAGATAGAAAAGGTGGTATTGTACTGGCCCAGTATACTCTATTCCTCTTTCCATTGATTTGTCCTTAAAAGAGTGATTTAACATCATAATATAGATATAAAAAACAAAACAAACCTTTTCATCCGCTATTGTTCATGTACACTTAGTTTAAACAGCAAGTCAGTAAATTGTATCATTTAAATTCACATGGATGTTCATCATGGCTGCCATGAATAAGTGTTTCTTTCCTGTTATGTAAAGTATGACATATCTTCCCTTAAGCAATAATCTAAATGTAGGATCTATCCCACAGTAAAAAAAAAAAAAAACAAGCTGATGTAAATGTTTAGCTCATATTTTCCCATTTTTGTTACTTCATTTTTCCTAAATAAGATATATTGAATATGAACAAACCCAACTGTCACAGTAAAGAAAGTGTGTGGCAGTTGTTTGATGCAAGTACTCAAATGACATTTTTTCTTTTTTATGCATTTTTCTTTTGCAGAAAGATTGTAATGAGTGCAGAAAATACAGTAAATCAAGCACCCTGCTGTCTATAAACCTAGCAGCACTGAGTCAAAAGAATTTATAAAACTTTTCTGGAAAGTGTGCTTTGGGAGAAAAAAAAGTCAGTCAGAATATGATTGATGCCTTTTTTTTAGCATCTGTTATGGTCTACCTGCAGAAAATAAAGCATAAATGAAGAGCAATCTAGAAAATTGCAACTTTTCTGTTCTAGGTTCAGAAAATATAGGTTCAATATATAGGTCTAGGTGCTTGCAGCAGTTGAACTCTCATGTTTCTTTCCAGACGTCTTGTTCTTGTTCTGAAGGTATATTTGCATAAATTAAATTACTGTTTACCAAGGTCAGTGATTTTTTTTTCTTGTGCTACAAAAATATTTTAACAGACCCTCTCCTACATAATACAGTATATAATACAGTTTAAAGCCATTTTGAAAAAAAAAAGTTAAATGTTTATTTAACTTCACAATACTGAGAACATGAGCTTCAAATCTTGGGTCAAAAATTCAGGTCAAGGTAGCAGCCTGAGAATGATGTAGTTCAGAAGCAGTGTGGAGCTCTCCTGTGAATGTAAATGTTTATGCAGTCAGTGAGATTTTTAGTGGTTTAACTGCAGTAGTAATGAATAGATTGGTTGCTTTAGAATTTGATTTATTACAATTAGTAGTTTAACTCACTTTGGATTCTGGATATATACACAGCAAGTGATCTGACAGCTCAGGTTCTAAAATCCTTTATCTAAAGTTAGAGTAAAACTAAAACAATGCCTTTCAGCGATTCAGAAATGTCTCAGATTTCAAAATGCATTCCAGCTACTAACACTACTAATGCAACACGATAGAAATGCACCTCTCCTTCCAATGAGGATGAACTGGGCAACACAACTGACATAATCTTCCTCATGTCTTTCGATGAAAGACTAGCAAAGCTGGATTTGTTAGATGTTCTGAAAGGAGATACAGTATCCGTGATTTGAGGAACAACCTTGAATACATCCATAAGACGATCATGGATCTTAGAGAGGAAAACAATATAATAAAAGGTACTGTATTGAGCTACAATCTAAGGTTAATGTCACTTCTTAGGAAAACAAACATTTGAAAGTATCTCTTGGCTTTGCAAGTTAGATCCATGTGGGATAGCCCCATTGTTATGGGAATATCTGAAAGGGTTGCAGCTAATGTGGAAACAGCTGTCCAAAAATTCTTGACTGATACACTAAGAATTCCTTCCAACAGATTATAATTATCTCCTTTCATCATGTCCATCGAATTGGCAGACCAATAAATCTGTTCACTTTGTACTCTGTAAATCTATAGACCCTGAACGACCCTGAGATCTATTATTAAAATTTATTATAACTCAATGTAAAATAAGCATTAAACAGTTTAAAATAATTAATTTGCAGTATATGGTCCTAATGAAGACAATCCAGAATTTTTTCACTCTTTTTCTGAAATTAATTTATGCTCTAAAGTCGCTAATTGCTGGATAATTCAATGTTATGTAAAAGCATAGACTAGATAGATCAGTCACCTCACACACTTTCAAGTCCTCGGTTGAAAGTACAGTAGTGAACAGGTTCATTAAAGATATGGGCCGTTGCGATATACTGTATGGGGACTTCTTCATCTGACTGAAAGTGAATACTCTCTTGTCCACAAAACCTGTACACTTATTGATTTATTTCTGGTGAATAATTCAGCTGTTCAATACATATCACAAGCATTCATATATCCAATAGTAATTTCAGATCATGCACCTAAATTTTAAGGTTTCTGTTAATCAAAGCCAGGCTAGGACATCTTGATGGCATTTCAATACTTCTTTGTTAAAGGATGACTCCTTCAATATTTTTATACAGAAGGATTGGTAACTTTTTTGGAAACCAATGATAGATCTGATTGTTCTTCCTCTTTAACTTGGGAAACAGCAAAAACTGTTCTCCAGGGCAAAATTATCTATTCTTTCAGGAAAAAGGAGAAAGAGAGAGAAAGAATATTCCTGATTAGACCAGAAATTAATGGAGGTGAAATTTTTTCATCAACACTCACCATCTGATGAATATTTTAAAATATTTTGAAGCTTAGACATCAACGCAAAGAAGTTTAGAAGCAACCAAAGTTTTTACTCTAGAGCTTCCCAAACTCAATTTAAATTTGTCAAAAAATCTGTCCAAAACATTAATCAAAGGTAGGAAGAAGAGTGCTTTCACAAGTATTACTAAAGAGCATGGGAAAATGACATATCATGCAACTGCATAAATGAAACATTCAAATCATTTTATTCACATCTTTATACTTCAGAAAAAGAGGCATCAGACATAGAGATGAATTTATTCTCAGACAAAATTCCTAAAATCCTCTGAGATATTTCCCTCAATGTTGGGATGAATTATATAAGGCACTATTGTCTATGGAGAATGGGACATCCCTGGCATACTGTAGATAGCTTCCCTGTAGAGTTCTAAAAGCATTTCAGGCCTTTTTTTGCTTCACTTTTATTAGGATGATTAAGGAGGCTTCTAGGTCCAAAAGGCAGCCTGAACATATGAACACTGCAGTGATTATTCTCCTATTACAAAAGTATAAAGACCCTAATTTGTGTGGAAATTGTCCCCATCTTACTTTATTGAATATAGATTTGAAAATTATTTTTAAACCATTTGCAAATCTTTTAAACTCTTTTAAAGTTATTAATGATGTTATTCACCCAGACCAGACCGGCTTTCTAAAATTGAGATATACAGTACATATACAGTATACCAGTTAACAGAATACAGCTTCTCAATCTAATGTATCACTCAAAACAGTCTTCTACTGCTGTGGTAGTCTCTCTTTAGATACAGAAGAAACATTTCATAGAGTTAGTTATCCTTTTCTGTTCCAAACACTGTCTTGTATGGGTTTTGGACAATATATTGGTTGACTTTGAATTTTGTATGCTAGATCCACACCTTCATTTTCCACAAATCATAATATTTCTAAACCTTTTTGACTATATTGTGGTACCACAGTATAAGGCTGTCCATTGTCACCACTTTGCAATTTTTATGGAATTATACACATATTTTTATGGAATTATACATTTATGCAATTATACACCTGAAGAAGCCTCCACTGCCGAAACGTTGTGTTCTCTTTCTTCTTTTTTTCAGCATGGAATAAACCTATTACTTGTTCCTTTGCAGTCTACGCATGCTGATGCAGCTACCAACCTGAATTTTTATGGAAGCTTTGTCCTTTGCAATCCGACAAGAAGAAACTATTCCAGGTATTCAGATAGGTTAAATGAAACACAAAATAATTTTGTATGTTGTTGACAAATTACTTTAGAACACCCCACTATCTCTCTACAATTAATACTTTATCTCATTAATAGATTCATCTATGTATCAGGCTAAAATGGTCTACATCTGAAGTATTGCCAATTACAAGTGTTAATTGGAGTTCTTTGCCCCAAGATTTACCATTTAGTTTTTACCACATGTCTTTGTTATTTAGGTCTTTTTATTATTCCAGCTTTGAATAATTATTCACCCTTAATATGGATCCATTACTCTCTTCAGTAATTCAACAGTTAGACAGACAGCTGGAACAGACTACCAATTTCTGTAATGGGCTACATTGCTGCTGTGATGTGTCCTATTTTCCTAACATTCAATGGTTTTCCAAATTGGATCATGCTTTGCCAAACTTAAAAAACTTAAACTTAAAAGATAAAATACCTCATATTAAACTACTCTTTAGAAAACCAAATATCAGGGGGGGTCTGTGTGCTCCTGTATTTTT